CAACGATACTACGGAAAGACGTTATTGCACAATACGAGTTTTCTAAATGGAACCGAGTAAAAACGTCGCGCTTTCGTAGCGCGACTGCACCGTTGATGCAACCGGGCGCCGTGTCGTTCCGTGATTCGACGCGCATAACGGGCCAACGTCCAAGAGATGTCATTGCACACCGTCCACGAAATAACCAGTTCTCTGTTCTGCCGAGTGCCCGGTCGGACACATTGCGTGCACGTGTCGGTAAGGGTAAACGCGTGGTCGAGCGCGTGACTCGACGGCCGAGGCGTGCCCTTCTCTCGATCACGTGGAATGTAACGCGGTACATTCTCTCCTTCTTTCTCCCTCTCGCGTATCTACCGTCTCCCTTTCGCCATTTCCTTCCCACCACGGTTTACGACTGCACGCGTTTCTCTCTGACTCACGAGTCACGCTAACCCGTTTTCTCTGTTCGCGTCGGCCGACACGCAGGTATGCCGATTGCCACCTTCGTCGTGGCGTCTCTTTGCGTGCACCTTTCGGTTATGGGAGAAAGAGAAGTCGCACGCGAGAGACGAAAAAAAGGGTTGCTCGAAGTCCTTCTACAAGTATAACGAGGTTTACGACTCTTAACAGCATCGAGAAACGATCTTGAGAGACACTACGATCTTGGGACTAATGGTAGAGAATAATCGAGAATGTTCGTGCAGGTCATTCTAGACGGTGCTAATTTCGCTATTTCGATGATTATACAGGGTGTTCGGACACCCTTGGGAAAAATTTTAACGGGAGATTCTAGAAGCCAAAATAAGACGAAAATCAAGAACATCAATTACTTGATTGAGGCTTTGTTAAAAAGTTATTAAAAAATTTTTCGGTGAAATTAAAAAATTTCAACTCGTTCTGAAAAAATTATTTTTGGTTGCGGGGTCAATTGCAAGCATTTTAGGTGAATACACGTACCCTCGAAATCCTACCTATTTTCGAGAAAAAAATTCGAGCAGGTACTGAAATATTTAGACGAAATTAAAAAATTTCAAATCATACTAAAAAAATTGTATTTAGTTACAGAGGTAAATTACAATCATTTTTGGTGAACACACATACCCTCGAAATTCTACCCACTTTCGAGAAAAAAATTTGAATAGGTGTGAAATTTTCCAACAAAATTAAAAAATTTCAAATCGTTCTCGAAAAATTATTTTTGGTTGCACGGGGTCAATTGCAATAATTTTTGGTGAATAATCCTACCCCCGAAATCCTACCCAGTTTCTAGAAAAAATTCAGTAAGGGCGGAACTTTAAACGTTAATAACTTATTAACAAAGCCTCCATCAATAAATTACTATTCTTGATTTTCGTCTTATTTTGGCCTCTTGAATCTGCCATTAAAATTTTTTCCCAGGAGTGGCTGAACACCCTGTATATCGCGAACAGATAAGTAAAATCATCGTACGAATAGCTGAGTAAGCGTAGTTTTAATCGTTTTGTTATCGACTATGCATTAACGCGTTGACTACCAAATTGTAGTGTAAAAAATAGAAGCGAGTGTCCCTGTTCAACGTTTATGACGTTACGTTGCAGAAATTGACAATGAAATTTCGATAAAGCCCTATATCGACATTGCCATTACCGACCAGAAGCTAATTATAGCTTCGTTATCGCGACGCCGAATATAGATCGTCTAGAATGTTCGTTTGAAATTATTGATGGGGCTTGTTACCGATACCTGCATATAAGGAAATCACCATTACGAGTGACTATTTAAAGCTGTACCTTCAGGTGCACTTCCGGCCCAAATACGCGTCTCGAGTGCGAGATCCGGTTTCTGCGTGACGATTATGAGGTCACCTGCGACAGAGCGTGATTTATAGTCAACTTTCGAAAGGTAGCATGCTCGCCAGAAATCCGTGAATAACTGAATACAAAATCAAATTGTTTGCTTTTAAAGATTGTGTAGTCTGTCCTTAACATTATCAGGAATGTTTTTTCAACAATCGATGTACTTGCAATATCATCGTTCGTTTATCATTGGCAAATATTCGATCGTATGTAAAAAAAACAACGCGACACGAAGACTTCAATAATAGATGGAATCTACACTTACAAAAACTTAACCGTACATTTGCAGTTCCATCGATTGTCGTTACAATGCCTGCACAAGTTGTTGTTACATTGATTCTACAACGTAGCAGAATGTTGCAATGTGCTGCAATCGACCGACAAGATCGTGATATGTCTTTATAAGGATCCATGGACGTAACAGGTCCAAGGAGACTGCGAGTCGTTCTAATTTGACAGCGTCCGTGAAATCTACAAACAAGGGTAAGCTGATACCACAGACGAGGTATACGAGTTGACCTGACACCTTATGGACATTTGTGGTCCAATCTGACTACCATACCGACCTGAAAATTCGGAGGTGATTTTAGCGTCCTCTTCTCATAGCGGTCAGTTGAGAAACTATTCACTGAATTGATGATTCTAATGGTCTCCTACAATAATGAATGTGTTTCATTGAAATTTACTTATGAAGGTATCAAACAATATTTCCGTAGAACGTCAAACAAATTTACTAAAAATCAAAAACGAATTTTTAAGAAAAATCGACAGGGGTTAGGTGCGAAAATTTTTCAGCGAAATTAAAAAATTTCAAATCATTCTGAAAACATTATTTTTGGTTGCAGGGATCAATTATAATTATTTTTTGTGAAAACACATATCCCCGAAATCCTAAGCACTTTTATATTTCCAATGAAATTAATCGAATGACCGTATAGTTTTCATTCCATTAAAAAACAATAAAATGTCTGTAATTTCATTTCCTGTCTTATTTCTTCTTGTGTTCATTTCAATAACCTGTTGGTAATGTTGTGAGTAACACGAAAATGGTAATGGGGCTCTATAGCCCCAGAAAAATGGATCAAAAAAATACATTAGGTGTAAAGTCTACTCGTATACCTCGTCTGTGATGATACACGGCGCCATACTACTTGCAGTCGGTAACATAAGATTTTCGATTTCAGTAATGATAAAAAATCACTCACTCGATATGGCGCTTCACGAAAACTACGATTCTATCGTCTATTTTTGCTATCTTTGTTTTCACATACCATATGCAATGAAAAAGAATTTTTAATTTTATTATACTTCGAAACAATATTGTTTATAAATAGAATCTTTGGAATATTATCACCAACGCGATATACAGCGATTTGTGCTTCAAAAAATACCTGTTTTGTCAATGAAATGGCTATTTAAAAGATCAGAGGGTACAGTTTTAATCATGTTACGAATTATCTTTCAGTAACATGTCTTAAATCACGCAGTAGGTCGAGATAAGATTAATGCTCCTCCATGTGTAAAATAAGTTTATGAAAATGTCAATTCTATGTACACAAAGCGTTAAATTAAAAATTACTTAAAGAGGGAATATAAGTACGTATCTTGCAACGAAACGTTTTAAACACGACGCGTCCAGTATTGAAAATAACGAAACGAAACATTTCCTTACGGATTAATTTATCCCAACTCGCTCTTCGATAATCGGTACTTCTCTTCTAAGAATACCCATGCAAACTTAAACGCTACGTTCTAAGAATAACACTTTCAGTAGGCGCGTGCATCCGATGAATACGTGCGGTTGCCAAATCGTTAACGTAATCTACTTTTTATCTTCGCATACTTTTCGAGTCCGAGTGTCACGTTTTACTTAAACGTGCTGCATCAGTTGACCGAGTCCGTACACGCACGTATATCGTTTCCCACGAACGTGGCCGGTTCTTTTTAAAATATAGTCTTATGATTCGTGATAAGAAACTGATCGGTCCACAGGAAACGCGACTTTTCGACACGCCTTGTCTTTCACGTTTGCCACGGGTTTTGCAACGTGGTGTCGCGAGTTTTCTGAACGGCTCACCGACCGGGGCGGTGTTCGTTTACGTTTACAGCGCCGTTGAGCGTGTCTCTTCAAGGTCACCTTTAAATCGCTTAATTATCACATAGGTGCATAATGTTAATTAACCGTACTTCTTACGGAGCATTGACACGATTGCGTGCCAATCATCGGACATCGACACATTACACATGTGCGTGACACGGATGGGAATACTTGCCTCTCCGTCAAACTGAATCCGGTCACAGTCACGCGTTTATCGGTAATCTTTGCCTCCGACAATACTGTCTCCATGGAAGGGTTATAGATATTATAGAATCATCGTCAAACAGCCGCTGAGATGGGATGCGGGGATGAGGTCATCAGCCTGAGAAGGCTGGTAGCCGCATCCTCGCATGGCATCCCGGAGGTCGGAGCGAAAGCTCCCGCGGACCAAACACCGGTGTGAATGTGTTGCGTGTGTGCGAGTGGACTGGGGCATGGGATATTTGCCGCGGGTTTTACCTAAGGCCGCAGGTTGGCCAGTTGGCTGCGGATGAGTACTGCGGCCAACGTGGCCACGCGGTCGGCGGCTTAGGCCCATGTCACGGGGCCGCGGGCGCTGGCGACCAGGCGCCTGCGGTTCAGTGGGAATGCGGTGGGTGGTGTGTCTCCCACCGGGAGGGGCCTGAAAAGGCACGACGCGACGGGGGACTCTGTGATGGCTCACTAGAGTTTCCGGGTCCCTCGCCAGGCGCCTGAGGATGGTCACCATGGGGTTTTACCCGGTAAGAGTCCGGCGCCCGCGGGTGTCCATGAGGATTTCCCCACGTACAAAAAAACGAATCATCGTCAAAACGAATGTTTAGGGTTCCTGAAACCGAATTATTTCTGATACAGTCGCGTTGCGTTATCAACCGATATTACATTTATCGTGACATAAAATATTTATAACGAGAGAGAACAAATGGGCCAAAGTATAGATTTGCAAGATTTAACACTTTGACTGCCACGCCCACCCATATATGGGTGGCAGGATTTATCACTATGATACTAGAAAAATGAATTCTCAAGTTGAGGGAAATAAATTTGGATAGAATTTGTAAATTATAACAAGGTTGCAAAAATAAGTACTGAAAAAAATTCTAGGTGATGTAGCTTACGATGGTTTAAAATCAAGATTTTACTTTTGCAGAATATTGCATTGATTTGGCAGTGAACGTGTTAAAGCATTTGTCTCCTATCTAATAAATATCAACGTTTCGTGCTCGAACCTTGAAATCTCACGTGAACATTTTACTAGATTTATTTTGCATAGATCTCGTACGAACGATTGGATGAAAAATATCACGTGATATAAAAAGAATATCTCAAAAGCTTAAACGACCTTGTACGACGGCTGTTAAGAACGCATACACCAGTTCGACTTTGTTTACGCCACCAAGCGAGCACTGAGGCTGTTATCTTCGCGAAACCGGTTCGCCGTTGGATTTATTTGGTTTCGATATCGACTGTCGGCGGGGGAGTTCAAGAAGGCAACTCACGATTAACAGTGTTGTCGAACATTAAATTGTTCTTAACCGGAGATATTTTCGTTCTTTTTTTCAACGCGCATACACGTGACAACCGACGATAAACAACGGCATAAAAATAATCTGAGGAACGCTGGTATTCTGGGGTATCTCTAATACCAATTAAATTAATTTTCTGAGAAATTCTCTCCAGCAGTTCTGTGAAGTTCGAGTGTACGTCGAGCACGCATGCAAGTCCATGGTAATTCTAATTAACCGTGCCCTATCTTCATTATTACTTCCCTTTCTCGTTTTTCATATTAAACATACACTGTCTGTCTGTCGAGTTATCGTTATGTATCCAATATAATCATTTATTAATTTCCTAAATACAAGTACTTTTTTTTTTAATTTCGTATTTCTTGCTTGCAAATGATGCCTGCGCGCAAAATATTCTCTTATTCCCGTACACGAACAGGATACAATCGTTTATGTAACGTTTAGTGAATCAGTTTATAAGTTCACATGGGAGAAGAACGAACTCCAGTATTGTGTCGTGTGGGATACAATTAAAACATAAGCGTATGTTAAGTTCACGATGAACGATAACTGCGCGATTGGTCGACTTCGATTCCGTGTAAGACGACTTCTTTAATACGATTAAACCGTCGTTTTGGTATATTTAAAAGTTACATTTTTCGTTCAAGTTGATCGAATTATTAATAGATAATTTATCTATTATTATTATCATTATTATTAATATTATTATTAGCGGTAACCTTTCCAAAGATCGATGGGTTTTGTACATAATGTACAATAGATGTATAAAACTGTTCTTTTTTTTCGTATCATGCACCACGAAAATTCAATTTAGGAAATAACAGCCGCTCCTGGTGCACACGGTACCATAAACTTATGATTCTTGTCTTTTTTATAAATTGACAAGTAATCGTTAATTATAAACATTGTTCTCTTTTTCACCATTCACTCGTCGTATTTTCCTCGTGTGGGAACATACAAATAAATGATATTTGTCTCCATGAATGATCGACACAGCATTAAGAAGATATAGTCGTTCTTATCTGAAGTATTAAAATATAAAATAATCGATCGTTATTCCTAACGCGAATGTAAAATTACATAACATACGTATCTGTAACTTGGCAATTTAAATGATAAACAGTGGCTATGTAACAACCGTACAGTCAAATGAGAAATACATGTAAAATTTATTCAACGACCGATAATCAGAAAAATACTATAGATCTTCGGAATCAATCCTCGCGGATTGTTCAGATTGTGTCGACCATGGGACACCGCGAATTCACACTGTACGCGATAATTATACCTGCCGTGAAAAGGATTACAGACGATTCAATTATTTTACTTGGTTATATTCAGTCCCGTTCACCCCTTTCTTCGGCACGCTCTTCCGCTCTCGCTTTCATTCTGGTAATAAATGCCTGACCTTTACTCTTTCTAAAGTTCTCGTATGGATCATTTAAATTTATACCAACGCCTTTGTATTGATCGTTTTTATCTCTAATTTCACCTCCCGATATGGGAGCCTCGATACCCTGTTCATTGGCACCAAGTCCTGCACCGCTCCAACCCATTTTCTTGAGCAACTGATGACCTTTATTACTTTCGTCGAGACTAATTTCCTGAGGAGCTTTACTGTAAGTCGAACCGCTGAAAGAAAACAACGCGTAAGAATCATGTTTTATTAACACGTTGACTTCCACGCCAGTTCTCCATGTCTAGGAGGTGTCATCAACATTTGTTCAAATTATAGTGTGAAAAATAGAAATGTTCGACGATAGTAAATAATTTTGTAACATGTAAGTTTCAAGTACCGGTTCACCAGTGATCACCATGGCAGTCAACGTGTTAAATTGTAAGCCGACTTTTGATCGATACTTACAGGAAGCTGGGCGGAGTTGGACTTCGATCTTGCCTGTCCATTCGTCTGTCAGGACTTCGATCTTTGTTGCTATTCCTTCTCCTCCTACTTCTGTTATTGTGATTGCTATTGCGGCTATTGCGTCTGTGATTAGTTGCCGGAGATCTGGATCTGCTTCTACCCCTCGACCTCGATCGTGACCTACTTCGCGATTTACTTCGATATCGTTTCTTTGGTGGACTAGGACTTTTGGATCTCGGCCTCAAAATTGGCGACGGTGATCTCGATTTTTGCCTTATACCAGCTATTATGTCCTCTTCCTTACGCTTACGCGCAGAATTCTTCGCTTTATAATACTCGTATAAACCTAATTTTTCCCATCCGTCGCTGAAATATATTGAATTTAACATGTGTTTATTGTTAAAAAATAATATAAAGATTACCCATGAATTGCTATTTATCATTCTGTTTATACTGTAATTTTATATCATATAATTTATATTGTAACTATACCTGTCTCGCGGAGAGTCATGATTTGGTGGTGCATAGAATGCTTCTACAGCTGCAACTAGTCGATCACTTGGTGGAGCAGGCGGTGGAAGTCTAATAGCATCTGGATCCAGAGGTTTATATTCGGCGTCTTCTAATTTGATTAGAGGTACCATCAAACCAGCAGGAAGTTCATAGTAAGGCATACTAGGCATTAAATCTTCAACGGAAGGTTCGTGTATAACAGGCGGTGGACCAAATCCTGGCGGAGGTTTTGAAAAATCTGGTAATGGAACATTCGTAAATGGTGGAGGTTCGCTTCCAGGAGGTACACCCCATCCAGGTGGTGGCTGACTGAAATTTACATCTGTACCGATTGGAGCAGGAGGGCCGGAATGAGTAGGTGGTATGGACATATTCTGCTGATTCTGTAGAGTATTATTTTTGGTTAGTATATATGGAGTATATAAAAATAAATTACATAGAAGTTATTGATATACCAATTGCGGCGGCGGTGGCGGTGGGGCTTTCAATTGTTGGTCAATCGCTATTTTTTGTTGCTCAATATTCTGAATTTGTCGTAAAGCATGAGTAACAAATGCTTGATGTTGAGTTTGATAATTATCGAAGGTTTGTTTCGTCGATGTTGTGATCGGTGTAATTGCACTGGCATGTTGAGCAACCAGATTAGCCTGATATTCGGACCAAGACGCACTTGGTTGTTTCAACTTATCTATAATTCCTTCATCAAAGTAATTATTTTTTGATTCCCACAAACTTAATAGTTTATTTAATTTATTAAGTTGTTCATCTGATGCAGCTAGTGAAGTGTTACAGAACATGGGAACAACAACACTTTCCATTGCCTTGCGAAGATCCATAGACTTTTTTCTTGCACTAAAGAAGTTTAAAGTTAAATATTGTGCACAAATACTATACGAAAATTATCAAACTTTATGGTTATGAATATTATTGTACCGAAATTGGAATATCAAATTTTACATTTATTATACCATAAAATACATTTTAATGTAAAGAATATTTGTAGTAGAACAAAACATTTAATTAAGAATTTTATAAATGCTGCAAAATATGTAATCCACAAGTAATTTCTAAATAATCATTACACTTACCAATGATGTAAGACATCATTGACCAAATAGATAATATGAAGTTTATGACTAAAATTTGATGCTTGAATTACTCTGAAATACATATTATAAAATTAATTCGAACATTATTCACGTCGAAAACTGAACGAACTAAAATAGAAAAAATACTTACTTTTTTAATAAATGATCTGCGACAACTTGATTACTTTGCGGAGTAACTGAGTTCTGAAGTATCCAGGCTTTCCCTGCACTAATGCTGTCTTTAGTGCAACTATCGATAATAGGTTGTAACACTGTATCGAACGCAGCAAGATCTGTATTTGTACTTTGTGCATTGTTTTGCAAAGCCGTTTCTTGAGCTTGCCTAACAGCATCTTCTACCCTTCCTTGTTGTTGTGCCATCAGTGCAGCATGTTGCGCAGCCAGATTTTGTTCCGATTGTCTGATTTGCTCTTGTAGCGTAGTCTGCTGCGATTGAAGGTTTGCTAATTCATTTTGAAGCCATCCAGGAGGCCCGCCAATGTTAACCGGTTGTGTAACTCCAGCAATGGGTGGATTCACACCTCCCATAGCACCAGGAACTGGTCCAATCGGTGGTCCTGCATTTCCTGGCCCTCCAATTTGTCCAGGTACTCCAGGTATAACGGGACCACCTTGATTTCCTACTGGTCCAATCCCCACTACTGGATTTAATCCATTGTTCTGAGTATTTAGGCCAGGTGCAAGATTGACGTTATTCAGTGGCTGAGCGACGGTAGCGGCTGTTTGCTGCTGCTGCGAAACGTTTAAACGTGGGTCTGCATTTTGCATTGGATTTATTCCTTTTTGCTTTAAAACTGTAAACGAATGACGGTGGATTATTGTAAGATGTTTGATTCCTTCAATGGATATTGAAAAAGTATACAAATAGTCCAATTTCTGTTGACTCTTATCTTCTACCAGTGCTTAATAAAATTCTTGGCATTTATGAGAGAAGTATATTGAAAATTCAGTAAGTCTTTTGAGAGCACTATACTCTTTCCCTGTTTTATATATACATATATATATATATACGCATATGTATACATATATTTTTTTTTTTAGAGTACTAGGGCATTACAGGGTATATAGTTATTGTAGATGGACTATAGTTCCCACATAGATTGAAGCAATATATTGACAATGTAGTCCGTATTAGATAAGCTCCAGTAAGAATCTTAAAACTACATCTTCTTAAAATCACCATTGCCAAGAAATAGAATATGTCTTTAGCTAAAGCATTCTGCTTAATAAATAGCAATCCCAAAATCTTGAAATGAAGTGCTCATATTCGATGAATAATAGTTTTGTATGTTCACTATGACGAATTCAGACCCTTTCACCCGTATCTCTTTTTCAAAGTCATTCCTTGTTCGTCGAATAAAGCATGGCCATTATGCTTCTCAATTGTTGTAGCTGTTAAGGGGCTGTATCCCACTTACTGGCTTGCTCTGTAGTCACTTTGTACTGATAGTAGTTGAAGTGCTCTCCGCCGAACAGGAAACCAAACTTTGGGTTGTCCTTCTGCTTGTTTTTCGTCATCTGCTCGAACTCTGGTCCGTTGCGAGCCACAAACTGTGCCAGCTTGTCTATGATGTTCCGTAACTCTGTATCTGGGTATTATACCAAAATCAATGGAATTAGTACAATGACAAACTACTTAAGAATTACTTATACAAATATTACAATATAGATGGCAATATTTAAATACAGTACTGAAATAGGATCTCTTATTTTTTAAAGTACGCAGTCCTAATTCAGCCCATCGTAACCTGAAAGATTGAATCTGTTTTGAAAGTTATCATTCTGTGAATATATCTACAAAAAATCTGTCCGAGGATATTTTAATTCGTCGATTAAATAGTTTTGTAATGGTAACCTAATGTGTTGCACAGGTTTACATAACCTACTATTTAGAATCTAATTTTTTTCTTTTTTAAATATATCTCATTACTTCCGTCGTGTGGAAACTCACAAATCTTCAATTCTGACTAATTATAGTGCTAAAATGATAGATCACAAGCATTACGATTAATAAGGAAGGTGGAATGTTAATACGCTCTCTGAAGAGGGAATGTGCTAGACCGCGCTTGACCGGATCGCCAAATCACAACATTCGTTTCTTACCTGCAGGTGCCTGGTCCATTATCGCGACTACTATTTTACTTTTACACGGAATTCTATCACGTTTGTTTTTAGTCTCGTTAACACCTTTTTGTACACAATCGAAATTTGGCTTCGGGAAACATTATTTTCTCACAGTGAACACGACAACGCTAGACGTCGCCATTAATTTCGGAGTAATTCATGTTTCGTTAATATACCGCTAGGGTCGCTGATATTCCAACTTATCACGCGAAAAATACATCCATTTCGACACATTTTTATTCTCCTTAAAGGTTTTACTTTCCTGTCAATTTTTCCCAGTGTTTGTATTCATTTGAATTTCACTCGTGATTACTACAGATTGCGACTATTTAAGGTAACAACATATTTCTAGCGAAATATAAAATATTTAGCATATTCTATCATTTTTGTTTTTGCAGCGTAAACGTGCTTGGTGATAATATATTCATTATATATGGGAAAGAAACAATTATCACAATTTCTTTTGTCGTGTTTTAATTTTATCTTTGTAGAGGCCTAATCATTTATAATGAATAATTTTTATATAATGTTTATGTTACCAATAATATTGTTCCATATGCACTTAGTAATTGATTATACTATTTAACCTAAAAATTATCATGTCAACGTTGCCACATATTTAACATACTTTTCATTGATGTTAGTTGCATAGGTTTTAATGATGCCAGTAGCAGATGTAAAATCTAGCTGGGCTGATGAGGTAGAGGAAGAGGGAGGAGCATTGCCACCGCCTTCGGAAACTTATGAAAATGGATTCAAAGTTCTAACAGAATATAAATATAATCAAGATAACAAAAAAATCAAAGTGGTCCGCACATACAAAGTTGAGAAACGCATAGTTTCAAAGACAATCGCAGTGCGCAAAAATTGGGCCAAATTTGGAGATTCTGCAACTGACAGGCCTGGACCAAATCCTGCCACTACAGTTGGAGGTGAAGATGTTTTCATGCAATTCATTTCTAGTAAGGAAGAAGAAAATAAGATCGAAGAGGATAATCTTGATAAACTAAAGAGTATGGGAGACAAAGGTGTTGTCAAGTGCCGTAATTGTAATGGAGACCATTGGACGTCAAAGTGTCCGTACAAAGATACTGTTCTTGCTGGAGGTAAACTATTTTGTTGCTACAAATTTGCTTTTGAGAAAGTTTAGAACTTTTAAATTTTATGGTATTTACTTTCCAGGGAAAGTACCGGATGATAAGAAACCACCTGGTGCTCCTGGTGCTCCTGGAGCAATGGCAGAATTGAAACCACAGGGTAGCAAATATGTACCACCTGGGATGCGCGATGGAGGCAATAAACGCGGAGATTCTATGCAAATGCAACGACGCGATGACATTACTACTATCCGTATTTCTAATTTATCAGAAAGTACCACGGATGCAGATTTGGACGAGCTTGTGAAGCCATTTGGAACTGTACTCAAATTTTACCTTCCTAAAGACAAGCAGACCAATCTTTGTAAAGGATTTGCGTATGTACATTTCAAGTATAGAATGGAAGCTGCAAAAGCTATTGCTACACTCAATGGTTATGGTTATGACCATCTTATTTTGAACGTAGACTGGTCAAAGCCACAAACACATAATAATTAAAATTAAATTTCTATTATCCGGGGTCCGCGGTATAAAAAAAAAAGTAAAACAATTTGAAACTGTTTCTTTATTGTGACACCAAGGGCAGAAGCGTAAAGTATTTAATATCATGACACATTGGCTGGAGAGAGGCTGGAGTTGTTAATAATGAAGGAAACAAAAATATATTTAATCTCAATTTTCAATGCCTTGCAGAATAAACCTTGTAGGGTTTAATCAAAAGTATATTAATAGTATTAGTGCAGTGTTTTAAATTAAACTTGACTAATTTACGAAACAGTTTTTCTGAGTTTGGTGTCACAAGTTACCATCATTTTTAATTCATTGAATCAATTTCATTTATTACTGTAAAAAGTGAATGTATCTATTAAACTGTAATTTGTATTACTAACATTGAAAATAAATCATTTACCATAACGTATTGCATTTATTAATTGGATATTAACAATTATTATTTTAAATCCAACAAAATATCAGTGTACTTTTACAATATGCACATTAAGAAACGAGGGGAAAGGAAATTTATGGGTAAGCTTATCTTCAATGTTTTTATATTAAAATTTTATACTCAACAAATACACTAAATACACTCATCTGTTTAAACGTAAAGTAATACGGTATTGCAATAAATATGAGTATCGCGGTTCTACGTTAGACCCTATGCGGTACAATTGTCATTGCAAAATAAGAACAAAGAAATTGCGATAGAAATAAACGTTCACGTGGCACGTATATCCAAAAGTAAAACGATACAAAAGTAACCACAGGCGTTCGTTACCTGTGCGTTAAAAACTACGATTAATACTACGTCGCCTAAGTACTTTGAAATGGTAACTCTAATCAACAACCTTACGCTGCTCAACGGAGCCTAACGAATATTATACAGATAGCAAAAAAAAAACACATATATTAACTTTTTGTCAGTAAAACAATGTCATTTGAAAATATAATTAACAATAACTGTATTTTTTTTTTCTCTTTTTGCGCGCGCCAGCTCGAAGCTTCAACCGAAAGACCGTTTCACTATTTATTGTCGATTCCTATAAAATCATCACAGTTTAACGTGTTCTTCACCGACGATCGAACCCAACTTGGTTTCGCAATTTCTAAACGCAATTTTACAAAATTGAAAATTGTCATGACGCGCCGTCTCGGTATCGTGGTTTCTCCTTATTTACAATACTCATCAAACTCTAACTTTCTCTTATAAAAAAGACTTATATATTAGCAAACAATGTTAGTAGATGCGCCGTTCAACCGTGTAATTTAAGTTGTTCGCGAAAACGATCCCTTTGGTCATTCTTAGAGATCATGCACGATCGTGCCCTAAACGTTGAATTCCATCAGTTTCACCGATCAAGCACAGTCACTATTACTCCCTTCGAGCGGATTCCATCAAGATCTACACAGATACATTAAGATTCACACGAACCATATATCCATATGAAAGATAGTCTCGAATGAATCCCAGGGTCGTCGTTTTTCAGCCGAAATACCTGAAAACTTGTTCGACCGCGAATATACTCTTTCATTAAACGTCGTGTTTCAAAGAACAAGTTCGACCAACGTCGAACAGTCGCTTCTTCAACTTCTATTACCTCTTAGTTCGTCAACGTATAATTTACCAGACGGCGCACTTCTTCTCGGGGTTCATTTTCGAACCGAGCGGACATTTGAAATCTTTCGCGAACTCCTCCATGTTGGAAAGCGGACCCAGAACACGGAACTTCCCTGGACTGTGGAACCCGGTGGTGATGCGGAGTTTCATCGCTTCCGGTCTGTACTTGCTGCACCAGGTGTTCGCGGCGCTTATCCAGAACAATTGTTCCGGCGTGTACGAAAGTCCTGGTAATCTCTGTTCAGGATTATTTCGCCTGACCCATTCTTTGTACGCCAAATAGGCTTCTTTTATTCCACCATTGTCGGCGATGTTCTCACCTTGGGTGTTTATACCGTTCAACTGTAACAGACATACATACTCTAATGTCTTTTTATTTAAGACTTGGTTTAAGACTTGGAAAAAAGGATAATAATTCATTAATAAAGTAATTTTTCAAGAGATCACTTTGGGAATCTATGCGTTTACAATTCCTATAAGTACTCGTGCAAGGAAGAGCGGCCAAATAAAGATACAGAAACGACAGATCACGTAATAATGAAAGTATTTGTTACGTTTAAGGCAACATCTTCGACGGTGTAATTCCCATACTGATGAATGATACACTCTGCTTTTTCAAGGTACTTCTCCTTCGTTTGCGGCGCCCACCAATCGACGAGGTTTCCATTTTGATCGAATTGTCGGCCCTGATCGTCGAAACCGTGCGTTATTTCGTGACCTATGACGAACCCGATAGCGCCGTAATTCATGTATCTTGGTCGATCGTTGCTGAAGAAAGCGCCTTGTAGAATGCCGGCTGGGAACTCTGTGAAAGAATTACGTAAATGTCTACTACTCTTCCACGCGTACTCGCCAGCTTTTATTAACGAAACACTTACGAATACTGTTCTCGATCGATGAATAAAACGCGTTGACGATCGCTGGTCTTCCGTGGGTTATCCAATCGCTCTTATTTACGGGTTTACGTAGTCTACCGAAGGAATATTCCAATCCAAAGAGAGTCAGATTCAGGATACCCTCTAAGTAATTGTCGGTTGTCAACTCTAGCTTTTTATAAAATTCTTCCAGTTTATTATCGTCCAACAACTCGTCTGGATACGCGATGTGAGTGGACATGGAGGCTGCCTTGCTTAAAGCGCTCTTCCTCGTGTCTTCGTCCATCCAGTCGACCTGAGGAAACGAAAATCTCTTTCAATGAGGATGAAATAAATATAGCGAGAATGATCCTTCAATGGTCTTCACCGATCTATTCGCTTCTACACGACTTAACTTTACATTTGCACAGCGGATGGCGGGTCTTTTTGGACCCAGATAACACTTTTTCTTCATTCATTCTTTTCCTCTATTTTCTAAAACGTTAATATTTATAGTGTTCATTATGCAAACTGTAACTGTTTACATTTGGTATTCGAAGAACAAGTCCAATAAACTATTCCTTTAATAAAACTAAAAAATATTTAAGACAAACTTAGGATCATTGTGTTACTGCAAAATGTAAGGTGCGGGTTAAAAAATAAAATTCTACGAAATTTCTACGCGCCTTCTTCAATATCTTGGTGAATTCTTCTCTGATATCGGCCACCATCTCTACCGCGTTCTTCTTGGCATCTTCTTTGAAGTACTTCCTCACGTAAAGGGCACCGACGCTTATGGCCAGGCTACCGGAAACCGTATCGATGCACTCCTTCCACCTGGGCTCTCGTTCCGTCTTCCCGCTCAATGCCGTGGAATATTGCAATTGCCTCTTTCGAATCTCCTCGGTGAGATAGCTCACTGACGAAGCAGCCGCTCGCCACATCACATAGTTCGCCTGAATCCTCTTCGGCGTGCTAACCAACAGCTTCTCCAAGGTTGCTATGTAACTGGGAACACTGACGATCACGACTTCGTCGTCGTTGACCTGAACGTTTGGCGCCAAAATGGTGTTGAAATATTCCTTCCACGGTATGCTAGGATAAGTCTTCGATAACTCTTGCACCGTCATGGGGTTGTAGAGGAGGGTGGCGTTGCGACGCTTCTCGTTGGGCAAAGAAATCTGTGAAATTGATATTCCACCAGAATATTAAATGTGCAGAACTAGTTATGTAAGTTTTAGCGATTTTAAATAGGTACTTAAAACTAATTTTAATCCTAGGACAAGGAGTATGCATTATACATAGAAGAATAGTTTTGGAAATACTAGGATACTACACATATGATCATGAATACCTGTTCAAAAGTACTGTGACTTGCTGTATGAAGGAAGTGGAAAAGAAAGGAGAGAGGAACGTTCTATTCTGGGCCAGTTAGTGGGACTCATCAATAAGTCAACTCTATCAGACCCTGCCTTAGACGCCATTTAATGGCCAATTAAGAAGTGTATTCGACGAGTGCTTGTGAGAGACCGTAGCCCTCTGCTGGCGAGTGGAGGAGGTGTCGTCACAGTACAATTTTATAAAGCAATTTTTATCACGTTACAATAGCTTCCTGACGAAATGCTGAACTTTAAATAAATATTATTATCGAGAAACTTACGTTGGCAAGTTCCATCTCGAATTCCAGAGACTCCTTCAGTTCTGTTTGTGCTCTAGTTTTGTTAGCTCCAAGAATCGTCGCGATATCAACCATATAGCTGTAATAGGCCTGCACAATTTTGTCATCGAATCCCTTTGACAGATATTCACGCGAGAGGCCAAGCGACGCTTGATCGAGCTGCAAAAGTATACGATTCCACGTTAAATGTCGACTCAACTGCTTTTTGTGGTAGCATATAAATTATTTATCTACTGATTGCCGTTGCACGATTCTGCTAAACGACAGAGTTTTTAAGATGCGAACAAGTAGCGTTTATATTGCCAATTCGCGCGTCGTTTTACGACTAACTTCTCCACTGTACTGATGCAATACTGTTTACGAACGATCCCACGGTAAACATTTGGGACATAAATTTTACTATTACACACAGTGGTTTCATCGTACGCGTTCGATTCGATGAATGGAAGGTTCGTCGTCGTATACGTACGTCGATTATTCGTCTCGTGCTGTTCTTCAGATCGACTCCGACGCTGAAATCGATGAAGTAATCGACAGAGTAACCCGTTTTCCGGAATTTGTAAACCGACTCTTTCCAATCGAATGCATCGTCGTTCCAATCGTCGCCCTCTAAAACCGGCCAGCCGCCAAGGTTTTGCAAAATCTTCAACAGAGGTTCCAAACCTTGCTGTTCGATGACCGCTGAAATAATTATCGTTTCATTAACGGAATTACTCTTTCACTTAACGATTCGAATAAATTTTCAACTATTTAAAAAAGAATAATATTGCCTAAAGACGAGAGAATTCTTTCGTATCGTAATATGTATTTACTTTTGTTTATGCAAGACTTGTACAAATTCTTCGCGAGCCTGAAGGGTTTTGGCTCGTTCGGCGCGCTCTTCTCCTCGATGCTGGACCTCAGTTGATTCTGCAGCTTGTCGCTGATCTCTGTGAACGTATTCACGCTCGTTTTGTCGTCAGGGATGTGTGTGTTCTTCAGAAAACCACCGCAAGCGAAATCGTAGAAATCGTCGCAGGGTTCCACCTCGGTGTCCATGTTTTTCAATATCCCGGACGCTGGAGTATGCAAGCGGTTAACGAAAAGTTCCAAGGCATTTATAACATTTTAAGATTTGAGACTTTTTACTAACCCGTGTGAACGCATTCTGGCGTGTAGCAGATGTCTTCGTCGCAGGTCGGTCCTCTGTCTACAATTTGAATGTCTTTTGTGTTCTGATATCCGTTAAGAGCGTCGGCTGTGGATGGTAATCCCTCTGTGTTAACGGGATCTACTCTCGTGCAGGCGCGGATGCAGGTACGGTTGGTGCACAACAGAATGCAATACACGATGCTGTTAATAATTGTTAGTAATTGCTTGTTCTCAAGCTGTGCCAATAAGCATTCATTAATACAGATGAAGTGAAATGGTAAATTTAACACAGTGACTGTGAAAAGCCAAATTCATAAAAACAAGTGAATATTTTAATAATTCCGTACTCTTAACCCAGTAGCTTTATTTTGTTCAACTTGGTCGAAAGTTTCCGCGGAACCTCGCTTTCAAATAGCCATTTGGCGTTCTACGTATTATTTGTGTTTGAATATTAAATTTCAACAAAAATCCACGGAAAATGAAACAAAAATTGTGAGTTACATTGAAAAAATATTTGCAACGAACGAATGCATGAATTTTTAACGAGCACGATATGCCACGATTATAATTATTTTGAAATGATCTATTTTCTATCGTTCGTCTAGTCATTTCGTTGTTTCGAATTGATTATTATCGATTGCAATGATGGATTAATCTCTCTTGCGTTGGATGATCGTGGGATTTGTTTGGTTTTAATTTGCCAATGATTGCAATCCAATTTCCAAGTATCACGCACAGCAAATATCAGGCATTGATCGAGCCAGAAGTTGGAAAATGTAAAAAAAGTGTATTGCAACTCACGACGTACAGATATTTACATATCTCAATTTCATCGGTTCCCATTAGTTACCACTGTTTGGTCAAAGGATATTTGTTTGGAAAATACGTTGAATATTTTCAAAGTTTTATTAGAAAATGGAAATACGCGTTTTTAAAAATATTCTACACATTCGTATACTGCTTGAACAGAAATGAAAAAAATTACTTCCTACGCAAGTAAAATATTAATATGCATTAAATGGTTGTATCAAATATTTAGTTTTTAGAAAACACAATGGTATACATTGTCCCGAATGAATAAAAAAAATCCCAAAATTAATTTTTGAGCGCATATTTTGAAACATACTTTTTACAATTAAGCTCTTCCCGTTAAAGCAACTCGAACATTGAATAATATTTATTGCTCGTGATGCCATTAGTTATTACCGAATAGCTTTCCAACGACCGGAAGCGGGCTGCTGCAGGTAGGCCGGTGGCTTTACGATTCGCGAGACTCGAGGATCGAGACACTTTCCTCAAGAGCGATCTATTATTGATCCTCCGCGTCGTTCGAACTTTTATTCATCCGCAAAGATAACAGAAAAGAAAAGTAAACGTTTCGTGGGCGCCATCGACCGACTATTAGCTCCTCTGGATAAAAATATTTCGATGATTCAGACCTACGTTCTTTTATGAACCTTCCGGGGAGGTCGCTATCGACACTTAATAAAAATATACGAAACGACGAATATACAATACCCGGCACGTGTGAGTAATATTAAAAACAAATTACTGATATATCGCGGTGCGTCAGAGCCGATATTCTTTATTGACGTCACTGTTCTTGACGTAAAATTACGCGTTTTCGATTCAACGCGGTCAGTTTGTTTCCTGATTGTTATAACAACTGTAACGTACGATGTTGAGTATGTGAGGAAATAATAGAGTCGCGTGCGTAATAGTAGAGATCGTGTGGGATCGCGATCAATTCGTTACATGGGATCTCCCGAACGCCCAAAACTTTATTTGGTACGAGCTTATTGGAACCTCTGGATCATATTTATGTTCTCTGAGTCGAACACCCTGTATATTAACGTTAAATATAAGTACGTGTGTGCGTAAGCGGCGAGGTGCAGCTAAAAAAGCTGTTCTAAAACCTAACCTCATGAATATCATTTAAATGTTTAATAGTACAGAAAAAGTTAAGTCATCCATTGCTCTGATACTCTGATATTCGATATAATGAATATACTGAGAGTTATCAGGATCAGTGGTTCTTAACTTTTCTTAAAATTCCTGAATATTAGTCAAATTAATTGTTCAGATATAATGCACCAAGCAGGACGAAAACAAAATCAGAAGCCTTCGAGACCTTTTTAGTTTCGATTATAGCAAATTTTTTATAGTCGATAGAATTTATATTAACACTTACGGAACTAAGAAAATTAATTCTCAAGATTAGATGTTAAAGAAAATAAATCTAGATAGGACTGCTGAATTTTAATTCAATTTATTTTTATTTTCTTTAACATCCAATCTTGAGAATTCATTTTGTTAGCTCCTCGGTAAATAATCGATGCGTTAAGAGATGAAAATTTTGGTTAAACGAGGGTGTAAAAATAAGTTCTATGAAAAATTGTGGGCATGTTAGTTACCAATTGTCTAAAAACAAAGTTTCGTTTTCGTGGATAATTCGACTACCAGGCGATATATTAAGTAACAATATTATATTAAATTGTTAAACTTTGATCGATCGTATCACGAGTCAGTGCCACGAAGAGCAAGTCGATTCACGGGGGCCAAATCTACGAAGAAACAGGTCACACGTGACATCAGCCGTCAATGAAATTCACGAAGATCAGATCGGCCGCAGCTTTCACGCGCCAAAAATTCTTTTTTACTGTTTTCAGCGTGGCCCAGGGAACCGTTATCGAACGACCGTAAAGGTAACTGCACTTGCTCGCCGTGGCTTTGTCGGTCAAAAATGAAAAAAAAAAAAAAGAAAAACAAAGTATAAGACGAGAGACGATAAAACAACGACTCGCGAGTATTACAAGGGAACGTTCGTCTCTCGAAGATGCACACGTAAGAGCTGCACGGAAAAGAGTTGCCGGATCATCGTCGAGAAACCGGTTATTACGTTCATTTGTTTATTCTTGTGAAACGAACAGGTATTTCGACGAATCTTCCCACAGCGTTGCGAAAATACACGCTGCTGAGAAGCGAATTAACTTGTGGATGCTTGAGGCCGGGTCGCTTTTGACCCGCACGAAAGTTCCTTTCTAACGCGTTGCTAACCAATATCCTCGACTAGGCTACTTTCATTTTATCACCTTTCGTGAATTCTCTAGTTTAAAGTAATTAACAAAATATCGTAATAATATCTGAGTCCACAATTAAATGCAGAATACAACAGATGTAATTAATTGCTCTTTGATCAGGATATGTACTCATTTCCTCTTTGTTGATATTTTGGAATAAGAATATCGTAATAATATTTGAGTCCATAATTAAATGCAGAAGACAACAGATATAATTAATTGCTCTTCGATCAGGATATGTAATCATTTCCTCTTTGTTGATATTTTAGAATAAGAATATCGTAATAATATTTGAGTCCATAATGAAATGCAGAAGACAACAAACATAATTAGTTGCTCCTCGATCAGAAAATGTAAACGAATTTGATAAACTTTAGACAAATACGAATCTACCCTTAACTATAGGGTTTTACACTATTATATTCCAAATAAAAATTATAATATTTTGTTTAAAATTCTTATCGAACGATTTATTTGAGTAAATATAGCTACTGTCGGGACCAGAACAGAGCAGCCCTAACAATAAGTGGCATCATGAGGTTAGGGGAACGCTTCTCTGCCTGGCGTATGCGTTTCCATGTCAATGTATCCGAGCCAAGATAACGGTCGTGCCACTAGTGTTGTAACTGTTTGTGTTTGCTGAACAACGGCCAACAAATGTCGCGTTTGTAGGTTGCGTTTAGTCGCGTGTGTCACGGCGGAGTTCGCATTTTGACCAGTAGGACATCTTTCCAGGATTTCTTTTGGCACCGCCCGAATTTCATCGCGACTCGCACGATTTCCAGTTAAATTGTACGCGTGTACCGATTTGTTTATCGCACCGTGCCAAGTCGCGTGCAATTTCTTGGACGTTCTTACCGTTTCTCGACGAACTGCAAGACACAGTATTCGCCGCTAGAACCCCGAGCGCAACAGCTAACGCGATGCACAAAAGGATCCCGGAAACTGCTATCACGGTCAGCCCTCGTTCCAGCGCCGATCGCCTCTTCCACCATGTTGGATTTCTGAAAAAAGTAACGCGAATAAAGTAAATCGAAACTAAAGTCTGGGTTCCTCTGCTAAAAATTATTTAGTTTTAAAGATATTTTCTGCATAAAGGCACGAGATACTCTTGGTCGAACGAGACAAGCAATGGTTTCTTCTCCCGCGTAAATATGAATTTACGAGCGAGTTGATGGCAACGAATAATTTTTGCGCTTTACGACGAACGGTTCGTCTGAATTTTAATGCTCGTTCTACATTGTACGCGAGATAATGGGCAAGGTTTAGCTTCCTCCTGTGCTTCTGACCTTGAACGAAGCTGACAAAGATCCGCAGACATCGATCTTGTCTATTGCGCGGTGCAAAATGACAGCAAAGTAATAAAATTCAGATTTTAATGGAAGCTCGAGATGGTTCGCGTTAACGGCACTGAAATCCTTGGAGTTCGACGCGAATAAACCGCGAAATAATTTGCAAGAGCCGAGTCAATGGCGACGAGACGTAGAAGGTCCAATGTTCCATTGTGTGGAAATTCAATTGTCCCAATCAAATAACAATTACATGGTCTCGAGCAAGGGAAACAGATCAATTCGTTGATTAATCGAGATACGATAGATTGTTCATTCTTTTAAATAGGCTTCGACTTCTTCAAGATGCATCTGTTGTTCAATGTTCTTTCGAGTTCAATGTCGTGAGAAATTTCGAAGCGAGCCATGCTTGCGTCAAGCGGAGTTTTATTAATGATTATACTAAGCTGAATGTTGCTATTATAGTGACATTCCTCTTTACGTAAGTGTTGAGACGAGGTATCTGACAACGAGAAATTAACTTCTCACGAGTCTCCGCACGGAACGATCACATAGTTATTACGACGATTATCATACAATCTTGTCTCGCAGAGACGAATCGCCGCGGGCAGGATTGGTGCAATCTGTTATTTTTTTCTTCTCAAAGATCCCGAATTTAATTTTCACGCCTTCTCTTTGGTACTACCACGTTTTTTTTTTATTCGTTTGCGATGTGCAAATATTATAACATAATGGTACTTCTTCCAAGTTTTATAAATCGACGAGTGTATATACTGCTTTAACGATTTACACATCTTATATGTTTCCATGATATAACCATAAAACTTTCCTAAACGCGTAGTCGTGTTTAATCTCTTTGCGTCTTAAAGTAGAATCGGTTAGAGAAAGTCTGACTGCAACGTGCAATTACAATCCAACAAAATGAAGTGGTCGTTCCGGGCGACTCTGGGAAATTATCTTCATCGTACCGTTAGGCTACCCAAGAAGTTCAACTTGCTATTTTTTTATTTTAAAATACTGCAGTTTCGATATGTATATAATTACAAGCGGTACCGAAATCTTTAGACCCACTTGTATACAAAACAAAAAGAGAATGACGACTAAAATCTCGTGAGATCGTAAAGTGGAAAGTTTCTGCGAATATATCGTTATTCCCTTTTCAGTTTGTGTCAACGATACGATAGATTAACAACGTCGTATTGAAAACAAAGCAGAAACACTACGTCTGAGACAATGGAAGGAGTGGGGCATAATCAGCCAAAATTGTGTTTGTATTTGTTAACTTGAGCACATCCCTTAAGAAGTAAACAAGTAGAATGTTCATAATTTCAGGAAAACGAAACTGAAAATTCCTGCAAGTAACAAGATTCGTGCAATTATCGGAATATCGAATTTAGTATGAAAGAGTTTCCTTGGTATATCTTGGCTATCTACGGCCACTGCTGCTGACTATTTTCACCTCCATCTTTATTCGTTTTCCTACTTTCCATCAAAACGCAACGAAGTTTTGATTTAATTATCGATCAAGTTTCTACCGTACATCTGAAATTCAAAATCATTGAATACGTGATCACGTACTTCTTTATCGTTCTACTATAAATATTAATTTCTTAACTCTACTGCCCCCTTAAACCAACATCAAAGGATTCTTGCCTCGAAGTTTGAGCCAGTTATGGACACTCTTGATTTTCTGATGATTTCTTGAAGAGACCCAATAAAAAAAAATCTATAATACAGTTGATGAATAAAGCAAAGGAATTTTATATATTATATTTTTCATTAATAAACTGTATTAATACATTACTCATGTTTATCAAAAATAAGTTTTTAAGAAAAATCGATATGGGGTAGGTGCAGAAATTTTTCGACAAAATTAAAAAATTTTGAATAGTTTTAAAAAAATTATTTTTAGTTGCAGGGGTCAATTACAATCATTTCTGGTTATTAGACATACCCCCGAATTCCTATGCATTTTCGAGAAAAAAATTTCTTACCGAAAATATAATTACTGGCCAGAAGTGTTAGCCCAAAATTTCATGCAAATCTTTAAAATGTCATAACTCCTGAACGGATTGGACGATTTTAAAGTTTCAAAAAGTAATCTACGCATATTTTGGCGGAGAATATGTACAAATTGCAAAAATATTCGAAAAGTTGATCCTTGAACCCGCCAAAAAAAAACCCCATAAAAATGGTCCAATTTTCAAACAGCCATAATTCCTACAATAGTGAATATATTTCAATGAAATTTTTTTCTAAGGTAGATCTCATGGGTACCTACAAAATAGTATTAGACAACTTTTCTGTAGAGCGTCAAACAGAATTACTAAAAATCAGAAACGATTTTTTAAGAAAAATCGATAGGGGTTGCTGATATTTTTCGGCGAAATTGAAAAATTTCCAATCGTTCTGGAAAAATTATTTTCGGTTGCAGGGGTCAATTACAATAATCTTTAGCGAACAGACATACCCTCGAAATCCTACCCAATTTTGAGAACAAAATTCAATAAGTGGACAAATTTTTCAACGAAATTAAAAAATTTTGAATCGTTCTAAAAATATTATTTTTAGTTATAGGGGTCAATTACAATCATTTTTGGTGAATACACGTACCCCCGAAATCCTACGCATTTTCGAGAAAAAAATTCTTTATCGAAAATATAATGTGTGGCCAGAAATGTTTCTGTAATTTTATTTTCCGTCTCACTTCCTCTTGTGTTCATTTCTGTAACCTATTGATAATGTTGCAAGTTACACAAAAATGGTAATAGGTCTCTAGAGCTCTAGAAACGTGGGTCGAAAAAATACATTGGATTAAAGTCTACTTGTATACATAGTCTGTGATTGTATTTCTCGTTTTTATCACTTCATATGTAGGTATAGTCTAATTATCCGGCATTGCCCCAGTCCCGAGTATGCTTGATAATGGCAATTTTACTGTATGAAGTAAATGTTGCAGAACCTTTTTTTCTCTGCAAGTCCTGTCTTTATAGCCCTGACTATGAATTAAACCAACAGCGAAGGAGTTGGTTCCTTCTCTTGAAGTTTGAGTATGTTTTGACCACTCTTGATCTTGTGATGATTTTTTGAAGAGGCCAAATAAAAAACCGTCTGGAATATAAGGTGAATATTGCAGAACCTTCTTTTCTCTGCAAGTCCTGTCGTATCAACTGCTTGTGAATTATCACAGAAAATTGAGCCGGATAATGTGAAAGCACGGAAAAGATAAAATTGGTATTTTTGAGCATAACGTATGCCTAAACATCAGATATCTATCTGCGGCTACTTTGTGGTCCGTGGACCACGGGTTAAGAACCACTGCTCTATATAGATTCTGTTTCAAGCGCTATTTCTGTCAGATCTGTTGTTGCCTTGGAAGGTAAACATCGATCATTGTCCATCGTCTCACAATGAGCACCGTTACGCGTTATGCAATTGACACTCGGTAGCGGCGATGTAACAATTAATTGCGGGTGTTTTCTAATAACCTTCGATCAAATCGATACGATACCGTGCAATACGTTTATCTTTAGCTTCTAAATATAAGGCGTTCGCCGCTCGTGCGTCTCGACGTTCCGTTTTTGCAGACGAAGAAAGCGCTCGATGAAAATCTTGGGTCGCGAGAAAAAAGTTGATAAAGGCGGTTCTTTTCTCTTCTCTTGTTACCACGTCGAGCGTACAAGTTGGCGGCTTACCCTTTTACTCTCGATAAATAATTACCGTGGAACGAGAATGTCGCAACCGGTCGCGATACACTTTTAGAGCACCGTTACGTGGAACTTGATTGCCTCTCGATAGCGAAAACGAACTCGTATCGGCGACCAAGCGTGAACGAACACGGTTAATAGACTCCATTCGGTGTTTCCGAATACGGTATCCGTTCCTTTATGAATATTTACTGCATTTAGAAGATTAGGCTTCGTCGTCTTTCCTTGACACACTTGCTTCGAAACTATCCCATCCTTTTTTGTCTCGATAATTATTTGTACGTACACAGTCAGTCTTCAACTTTTTGCGCGTTTATAACTACTAAAAGATATGTTTAAACTTCTTGTTTTTCTTACGTATCTTTATTTAGAACGTCTTACTTATCCGTATAGAAAAGTAAAACAAAATATAAACGTGTTTTAAAATGGAACAATTCCTTTACAAATTAAATTCTCTTTCAAAATATTTAAGTAAATTATTAAATCTATTGATTCTGTAACGAATACTAGTTTTCCAAACCCAGATGAAGGTTCACACCCTCGCAAACCGACGCCAACATCCCCCATACGCGGACGTTTCTCAAACTTCTTAGAGAAAAATTGTGATTTTCTTTACACGATGTTGCTACATCCCGATCATTTAAAATCTTCGTCTCAGAGATAAAAAGAGTACGTGCCTATAAAAAAAAGTAGCACATTCCTTGAACGCATGCAAACGAATGGGCTCGATTCGGTTGCACGCAAGAAGGGTTACTATCTCTGATTACAATACGCTAGAGCAATTCAAACGTTACGTGCCAAAGATAGGTAAATACGATAAAAAAACTAATTCCAACGAATTGCACAAGTTATGTATTACGATTTTCTACGCTGCAACGAAGATTATATAAAACAAAACACTTTCACCTAATAATTGCGTGGATTTCGTTGCTGTACAAAGTTAAAAATAAACGTGGATGTTAAAATCGTAAAGTAGAAGCGTAGCTAAACGAGCAGCGATACACTGTATGCGCGTGTTTAGATCATCCTCATCAATCATAGATTCGATTGTAATGGCGTTCATCGGTGAAGTACAATCCAAGGCTAACCAGATATTTAATATCGCGTAACAGAGAGATGAGTACTCGACAACATTTGTATACGTAATAAGATACTTCTATACTTAATAAATCTTTCGTACTAGCCATAACTTTGAATAATACTTCATTTGCATATACAATGTTCGCTGCAAGCGTAGCAGAACTATGCATCTCGAACACAAATGTCATAACGGCGAAACTTTATGGACCTTGATATCTTCGTCTGTAATATCAAATTGTTATTTTGCACTGCCAGTTTCTAACAGTTGTGACGTAAATCGAAATTTCTCGAGGCGAACTTCTCGCGGTTCTGCGATCTTATTTATGCTGCACGTTTGTAGTTCGCAATTTTGTCTCCATTCTTTTCTTCGTATCTAATTAGCAATTATTCTTGTTTAACTAAATTGTTCCATAAAATTGCAGTCGAATTTTTTGATACATACGTAAACTGTAACAGAACGTTAATTAGGAATACTGATACTAGTTTCTAATTCTGAGCCTCGATCCATTCATCTACGCAATCTAAAACACATAGTTGCATCGTACGAGACAATACAGAGATTTTGAAAAGTCTAATCTTTTATTTTTCGACAAAAATGACCAAAGTTGGACACAGCTGACGTTACTTTATGGTTCTGGCGAGCATTACGTGAAATTACGATGACGATTAACGATCATCGAACAGGAGATCGAGCGTTGAGGGGCAGCTGCTGGTTACGATAAAGACAATGTAAATAAATTAGCTTCGTTAATGCGATTTCTCAAGCCGCGTACTCCACGACGGACGACGGCGACGCGACTCGAGTGTATTGACCTCGTCCAGGGACGAATGGCATCGGGACGCCTTGCACCGCGCCGCAACGATCGAGTCAACGGCCTGTACGCGCGCGGGAAACCTAAATGCTAGCCGTCGAATCGGCCAAGGTGAATCCTTTTCCCCGGGAAAATGTCACTGGCGCGCGTCGTCGACGTCCAACGTGCGAGGCAAACGCGTTTAATCCCGATACGTTTATACCTTCCTGGTACCATCGATGGGAAACTTCGAAATTTTTCGATATCTGTTTTTGTAAAAAAAAAAGATTGGGTGAGGATATAGAAAATATTAGGTTAGAAAGTTGGAACGTTATAGGATTATAATTTAATAAGCGCAAGTTTAAGTTCAGAATATGAAAGTCCATAAATAATTAAAAATAGAAAAAATATATATATGTATATATGGTAAAAAGACCAAATGAATGGTTAAATTCTGTGGTGTAATTGAAAGTTAAATGTAAGATATGATAATGGGGGGTTGCTTTGCATAATTATAAGAAAAAAGATGAAATTCCTGAAGAGTAGGGTACCACACAGTGTATTTTTTTTATTTCTATTTTTGGCTATTTTATCTTATATTTTTCTAATAAATTTTATTTTAGGTTCTCTAGAAATGGAGATCAAAGTTTATTTGTTTGGATGTTTCTTTTACCGTCATTTGGTTTTTATTCCTAGTTTTGTGGAATCAGTAATTTTAAGATATACATATATATTATTAAAATGTGTGTAAGTTTAAGTTTAGAATGTGAAAGTACTTAAATAGAAATAGAAAAAATATATACATATACATATGGTGCAAAGACCAAATGAATAATTAATTTCAGAGGTATAATTGAAAGTTAAGTTTAAAATACAGTAAGGGGGTTGCTTTGCATAATTATAAGAGAAAAGATGAAATACCTGAAGAGTAGGGTATATCTATTATTGAGATATGTATAAATGTAAAAGATTAAAAATATGTATTTCACAAAGAAAGGAAAAGTGGTGTTATAGAGTCTTCGAATCTGAATTATCTATTAAAAATAATTTGAATCTGAATTTAAACAGTCTGTAATATTTCTTTCTTTTTTTTTTAACAGAGCCAAACCAGAGTCAGATCGAAACGTGGAAGATCGTTCTGCTCGAATTCGATATAGTTAATTTTGTAGCATATGGATACATACAAGTAGCGTAGCGTGATTCATTCGATTCCCAACGCTCTATTCGAATTAAGTGTGATAGATGCGAGTGTCAGCTAAGTAGATGATTCAGTTTATCGGATTCCTAGAGCAATAGGTCTTTATCGAGTCTTGTGCCGCGGAACATAGGTATATTCCTAATCGTTAAACCGAAACGTTAAATTTCTTTTCATTCTAATAAGAGAGGACACGCGACACACGTCCATTGATAACTTTATACAAAAGTGTAAGGTCTGCTAGGGTTGATAAATTAAGTATTTCCAGTAGTGGTGCGTAGTTATGGTCGAGGACAGACACAGGTTGACCTACTCCGCCAGCCGCTACCCTAAGAAACTTGTTGCACTCTTCCCAAGAGTGCATTTCGAAGCGGATGGAGGTCTTATCAATGATTCACTACGTTAACCCCTTGCCTTACGATTTAATTTCCAACTGTGCGTGCCAAAAGTGACATCAAAGTTTGGCCCGGTAGACTTATCACGTCTCTGAGACGTCATTGCAAGCTAAGGGGTTAAATAGCCAATTCTTCATAAAATAGTACCTATTGAGTCATCGTTCCATTAAAATTTTATTTATCGAATAATCTCAAACTTCTTTCTTTGATCCGATGCGAAAGTATCAGAATCCACTTAACGATACGAATGTTTTAAGTTATGAAATTATGGACTATCCTAGAGGTTCTCGAAGATTGAAGGTTTGGGTCACAATTTTTGGCTTCTCGATCACCCGGATAGTCTTTCCCATAAATATTTTTGCCAGCTCAAGAAGATAATTGATTTTTTTGGTCACTATAGCCTCTCAACCCCTTCTATTCGCCACTGGTTTGTTGTACAATCGTGGTGACTGATAATACGCCGCTGAAACGATAGCAATGTCGCTGCAACTCGATAAACAGCTCATCGTAGAATAAATCTTTCCGTATGTGACTCTCGATTCTTATCGTTTGGACCGTCGATACGAAAACTGATTTCCCCTCACGATCGAATTTCCGTACCATTACCCGTGTCGCGAAGTCGAGCGTGACCGCCCCGCGACGTGAGAACTCGGCAACGATCACCCTGACACACTTTGCTCGCAGCACGAACCGAGCGAAACAATCGGCGAATGCAACCGTGAAAGATCGCGGATACGAAACAGCGATCGCTCGATCGATAGGAGCCACGCGAATCCTCCCTCTGTGGCGAAATTTTCCATGTTTTGAACCGTCCATTTTGGAGGAAAGGGTAAGACACCTTCAATTACGGATAATTAATTTTGTAAAAATTAAGAAAGAAACGTGAATTGAAGTATACTTTAATTCTTTCATTACGTATGAAAATAATAGATAAAAATAGGTATTTCACGATTTCCGAAAGTCTACTATTACGACGTCGACCGATTCTACTTCCGGTTGTAGGAAATGCTAAGGAACGGCGACTCTTTGGATATTAATAAAATAATAAATTTGCTATGTTGTAATGGAAGTTGTGAAAATGAAAAATCGTGTTTCTACGAAATGCATCAAAACTAAGAAAATAAAAATTTTCCTAAAATTAAGACTAGGAATTGTTGTATTACTGGGTTCTGTTAAATATTCGACAGGGACGACTTTGTTTCATATTTTTTAAGAAAAAAACAAAATTTACACACACGTAAAAATGATAATCTATTCTACAACCCTGAGTATTGCAAAATAAATTAGGATGTGCTTCAAAAAATTCAAAAACCATAGTCACCACTATACAATATCCTGTAATTGGGCCTCTTACCCTATTTCTGGATCGAATACTATTTTCATGTATCCGGCAAGGATCTTTTGTCGACCACAGCCTTGAATTTTGACCATGACCATAATCTTCCTCGCATGCAAGTTAGGTTTAATCGTGGGTCGAGATGGTTCCTTTAGCAGTTAAGATCTCCAAACGTGATTGCATTCGAAGCTCCCGTCAATTCGTGAGGTGCCTATTGATCAAATTTTATAGTTTCAAAGTCAATTCCAACAACTTCGTTGCTTAATTTATCATTATACACGAATTATTACTATTCGAAAAATGCATACGAACGAATTTAGATTTTTATCTTGATTTATTACGTCACAGTTTCGGATTTAAATCAAAAATTTTTACGAAAGAATAAAGTAAGCGGTAAAAAAAAAATGGTAACTGGATTTGTCCTTATTTAACTTGTACGCAATGTTTGTTCCACAAACTGGACGAGGCAGTAAAAACTATCTTAACACAATATGTAAAGTTTCGAGCGGAAAATCACGTCGCATAATCCAATGATTAAAAGTTGGGGAACGCACACAGTGGTAATTTACTGGGATGAAGTAGTTAAAAAGTTATCTCATTTCAACTTGTTCGAACCGATATCGGTTGACTTCAATTAAATGTAGCCTTGGGTCCGAGCAAAATCGTCCCCGTGTTCGCTGCTTCCATATGATTTTAACGAACGTGGCTTATTTTCACGAAAATATTGATATCTAGTTTTCGCGAATGGCAACCAATTCCAACTATCGTTCGACGTTGGTCTTTGCGAATAACGTCGATGAAACGCAACCATCTGTCGAAAACAAATCGAGAAAAAGACGAAGAACGAACGCGTGTACGCGTGGGTTGACATTCGTTTGAAAAGTTGTGATAAACATAGCTTTTTAGTCGGGGCGGCATCAGCCGCCATTGAAGCGGTAAGGTCTCCCCTAACTCTGCGCCATTTGCCCTGGGGACGACGAAATTAGGGCCTCGGTCGATTCCAAATTTGTCGCATCACTGACCAGGCAATTATACTTCGTTGCAAAACCTCGGACAGATTGCTTGAACGATGTAAACAGTCTGCAAAATCAGTGAGTAGCGATATGAGTGAAAACGCGTAGGTCATGCTTAATTCGTGGAGTGCCCACGTTCGTACCAACTTTTAGTAATATCGAATCAATGTTCAACAAAATGGAGATCGAATAAATACTTCGTAATACAGGTAAAACAATTTCCAATGTGAATTTTTGAGTGTATAATCTTCTATAAACACGATAAATCTGATCTTATTTGACGTCTTTGTTGCGCAAGTAACAAGGTTTAAGCATATAAATAAAAGAAGAGACTCGTGGCTAAGAAGTGCGCTTTAAAATTAAAAGACGAACTTAAAATTCGCTTTCCGTTGAAGGAGAAACGCGAAACCGTGTCGGATTAAAATGGCACAAAACGACCGTGGACTGCATGTTAATAAATGCATGGCCCTTGCACGTGTTCGCGAGATAGCTCGACTTTATCTTTCGATCTCATTGTTTGTTCTTTTCGTCTCGAGATCTTGAAATATTCGAGCATTCGATCAAAGAAGTTTTATGTTAAGGAAACATACTCCTACCAAAGTTACGCAAAATATAAAAGATCAATTAATATTGCACACTGTACTTATTTGAAATGGATCGAATTGACCTCGGCTCGTTTCGTTTTCCTAAGCATTTCTTCGTGACTTCACCCGTACCTCGGTATCCCGATCACGATCTTCCTATTTCGACTTCGTTCGAGTGAATTGTAATCGTCAATTATCGCGAATTACGCGATCGCCTCATTTCCGCAAATTATGCGATTCGTCTCGTTTCGCTCGTCATATCAACGCGTTGATTCTCCAGTTTCTGGCCGTATCGCTTCACAAGACGTTTCCTCAATTTTTCAGTTCTACGCAGAACGACGGGTAATCTTGTAATCGCGAACGTTCTCGGAAAGTCAAGTGTTCTTATTGAACAAACTGAACGTGGGCGTCCAATTGTTTTTTTTTTTTTCGATAATGAAGACTCAAATTTTGCGAAGCGGTACCGCGGTCGTCTCGATTAATCTCGATTGGATTAATTGGCAGCGATCCGAGCCTCTCGATTTACCTCTTTTAACGGGAATTTTTAATACCAGGGGACCTCGTTCCCGTCGACGAGCGTCTTCAGGGTGGACGCGATAAGGAAACGCGAGAGACCGTCGCCGCGCGGAATATAAATTCGTTTGACCACCTTTCAGGAGTTTCTAGTTCCGCCCGGCATAATTTCATACGGTTTCAAGGCGACTGCAAATGTTTATCGCGGAAGCGCCGTGGCACAAAGAAACATGAAAAGACAGAACGTACTTAAGGTGACTCGAAATCGAGGATCTGGAATCATTGCAACGATGGTCTCGGTTCGTAAAACAGTTTCGAGGAATGCTCAAACGAAATCGATAGTATTCTGTATTCTCTGTTCAAGCAATAGAATGTCCTAATAGCCTTCGGATTACGAAGGCTACACTGCATCGGATTTCAACATATCGCGTGTGCTTGAGATACGATTGCTTCATCTTTCTATCGAAACAACCGATCGAGATACAAAATGTGACATTTTTACAAAATTCTAAACTTCTTCGGTTTTGCAAAACTTCCTGTTAGATCGAGGACTGTCTTTATTATTAATACATTATTTAAATGGCGTAAATTTCTTTCTATGGACGATGAAAAATACCCAACGTGTATATCTTCTTCAGGAAGTGACGCGTAAGAAATTGTTTATCTTTCATTCGTTATTGCAAATTTTTATCTAGATAGGAATGTTATCCATCTCTTGTGGATATTCATCGATAACAAGTAAACATTGTTAGTTTGAAGTAATACAAATAAATGTTTGTAGGAGGAAAACAATTAATATTGATCGATGTAGATTGCTTCTCAGTCAACTTTTCGCACAATAATCCAGCTGTAGTATGGGTATTAATATTCCGTCGTAAACTATAACGTAAAGAACAATTATCGTTAATATTTCGTGACGTTAATGGATAGAGGTGTGTATATGGGCAAGTTCAGTTCTGCTCGAACGATTAAAGGCATTGGTCTCGAGCACCGCCGTGTGGAGCAGTCACTTCCTGTAGAAAGTAACGGGTCTTTTATGGAGAGGCCAAAGAAGTGTGGGGTTTGATAAGACAATGATCTGTCGGCGAATGCAACCGGCTATGCACCAGAAGACAGGCAGAGGAAGATCGTCGTTGCCTTTCAGTCACAACGACATCGAGAAGACAAGCATAATAAAAAGGGAATCATTGTATGCAGATCACTTTTAAATTAAACAAACAGTATACATCGTTTGTTCCCCATTGTAATTTTAAGAAAATTGACTCCTTTGTACACGTTTGCTACAAGCAAATCTGAGATAAATCGTTTGTTTCAAAATCAAGCAAACATTTTAATCAAATCATTACAACGAAAACTATGCGTATTGTTAGGTATAATTAGGTTTTTATCGATACTGTTTTGTCACCAAATAAGATACTGACTATAATTAAGTAACAGACTGGCGAAACCATATACTACAAAGGCAACCTTCGATCATCAAACAAGAAGTTTGTTTGCGTTTGAACGGACGGAAATCGATTTCGAAATTTGACGTCCACCGGGGATCGTACACAAATATTTATATGGTGCATCAGCACACACGCGTATCGTTGTTTTATAATTCCTCGATTCGCGAAGAGTCGCCAATCCCGCTTGCAACATCGCCACGCGACTTTCATAACTCGTGCGAGCGCAAAGAGCAACATACGCGGTCTCTGCCTCCCTTTATTGTATGATCGCGAGATTTCTCCGGGTTGGTCAGTCCGAGGAAGTCGAGCACAACTCGCTTTCACTTCACCTGTTATGAAATTACTGAAAAAATTTGGGAAAAAGACAAGACATCCTGCTTGCAAGGAAAAGGATAACTTCTGGAGATACTTGGAGGAATTTTGGTACTTGTTGCAACTTGTACTTTCCTCCCTCGACTTCTTCCAGCATGCCAATAGAATAACAATCGATTTATCGACCAGCGCGTGTTCAATTATCTGCGTCATCTTCGTTGCAACGTACATCGAGCGTACGCAGAAAACACGTTGGCGGAATTGCCGATGGAGGAAACGCAAGACTAACCTGCACCACATTTATTAGATAGCAACGAATTTAATTAAACCGTCGACTATGAAATTATCGACTAACAGCAGACGATGCCGATGTTGTTCGTGAACGTACAATAACCTACCGTTACAAGTATTGTAACAGAAATGCAGCTCCTGTGTAAAAGCTGTTAATAATGGGTCGCTGGGAAAGTGGTTTTACTTTTTTAATTAATAAAAAGAAAACAGCCACGGTCACAGCATCTTTAAACCTTCGATCGCTTAATTTATTTAAATCTAACGAACTTTGGTAAACACGACAGGTTTATTAGGCTCGGCTGCTATTTCTTAACTCTAGAGTCGCTGTATATTTTTCAAGAGTTTTATTACGCATAGTTTGTAATACATTTTACTAGTGAGTTTGACCTTTATTTTTCGAAACTGCGGCTCCGAAAATGACTCGACTGTGTCGAATTTGTAAACCCAGCAACCTAGTTAATGCTATCTCTCCTTTCGATCGTTTGTTTTTCGAACGTTTGATTCTTCGTTTTTAGAAGTCAAGGTCACGGTTTATATTTAACGAAATCTCTTGTGCAAACTTTTTTCGATGTCTCTCGATGTTCTGAAGACACTCCGCGAGAAAGAAAATCTGCATCAAGGGTTGATTTCGTTCTCTCAATTTTAACGAAACATTGTTTTGAAGTACTCTGCATGCGATATTTAAAAATTTTCTGAATTATCCGATTTCCAATGTTTCTTCGTGAATATATATTGTATCATTATTAATTGTCGATCGTTAGCACGTTTGCAGCAATATTTTCAGCCCAATGTCATGCCCATCCATTGTTTCTGTTTCATCAAGACAAACGATCGTCGCGAACAAATATTATCAAAAATGTTATTACGCAATCAACGATATTTTGATAAATTGCTGAAAGTATTGGCAAATTTTGCTTTTCAAAGTTCTTCCTTGTAACATTGGTCGACCCAATTGTTTCCCACAGTGTTAATGTAAACCTCAAAACAATATTTTACAGCGATACGGAATCGATTTCGCGGTTAAATCTGCATCAATCACGACTGAACGAT